ATCATTGAATTAATGCTTAAGCACCTCATCTCTTTATTTAATTCAAAATCTTGTGCAGATTATATACTGTTAGTTGTAAATAGGTAATTTTCATTTGTGACAATTCATCCTGAAAGAATGATGAGAGGAATAATGAAATGGGAAATCCTCACTGGACATAGCTTTGGTAAAGCATTGGCATTATGCTTTTTGGTATAACCAAATGAGAGGCATCAGTTTAAGTACCTGACAGTATTTGAATATGGTGTACTCATACATTTTACATAACACACTTCTATATATCACGTCTTTTTATTTATTTATTTATTTATTTATTATTTTTTTTAAGGGAACTGAGTATTGTATCAACTCTTGTAAAATAAAGCATGTGATCTGGACCAGGTGTTAGAAACACATCTCATGATACTAAATACTCATGTAGTTTTTCATTAGCAATTCTAGTACTTTTTATAATATGTTACCGAGTGGTTCAATTTTCCTTCCTAAATATCAACTTATAATGGAATGTTGAAGAAAAATACTCTCCCACACAAAATATGGAATTTGTGATATTGTATTAATTCAAAGAAATATTATATTACATTAATATTGTATACTATCATAACAGGTTCAATAACACAATCCTATTTTATACACATATATTACACTTTGTATACTGAATACACACTTATTCTTTGATAACAAATGAATTCAATCTAGGCACGACATTACTGATGATAAATAGAATTAATACTTTGATGAAAAACCTTAAAACTTAAAACTCTAATTTCCTAAGTCAAGGTAGGGGAATGTGCATGCACTGTTCAATGAGCACATGAAACTTGTGACTTTTTGTGCCTTGTTGAAAAGTGTATGAATGAGAATGATTAATTTCACAAAGCATGGAATACAAACAACTTTTCGAGTTAAATTGCAGGCAGAATTACATCGTTCTCATGAAGTAATTGTTGAATCATCATTTACTTTTGTTAAAATTATTCCTGCTCATCAAAGAGTATCTTAAGATCTGTTAAAATGAAGTTTATGTATCATATAAAAAAGGTGTAACTAGTGTCTATCTATCCTTCTTGTTTTCATCCTCACTTGCCGTTTTATCTTCTTCACTCTCTTCTTCTTCCTTGATGTCCTCTAGTTCTTCTCTGTCATCATATAATGGATTTTCCTCTACAATGACTGGCTCTTGCTTGTTGTCTGTTCCCTTAGTCTCCTTTTCCTCCATCTTGCTCCTTTTCAGCAGGCTTTTCAACTTGGTCAGAAGTTTGCTTAGGGGTGATGCCTTGTCTTCTATCTTTTTCAATACAAGCCTGTAAAAATATAGACATACATCAATAAGAAACATTCTTCGACTTCTAAATAAAGAAAAATAAAAGGAAAAAATATACTGCAGTTCCTAATTTTACTCAACGTGTATATTTGCAATAAAAATTGGATACGACTTAGAGAAATCTACTCTAAACAAAAATAACAATTACTGCATCTTAAAAATATTCATTTTATATTTTCAACTCATGTCACAAAATATTTATCAAAAGATGTAACCTACTCATATCACAATTACATACTTCTTGGTAGTGATGTTATGAATGGGTCCAAATGCAAGGGCAACCACAGTGCAGGCAAGACAGATGACATTATAAGGCATTGAGAAATCTGGTGTGGGAAGACTCACAAGAAGAGTCTCTGTGTGAATGCGGACAAAGCTTGCTCCCTCATTCAGAATGAGCCTGAAGGAAAGAAATAATTTGTCAATTGTCTATGGTAAAAACACAAACAGCAATAATAATAATAATGCCAATAATGAGAGCCACAGGACTATCAGGGCTAAATTAAGGTAAGGCTTTGTTTAGTTTGGCCTGCTTGATTGTGTATACAGATTTATACCTGCAATATTTCTTGCCTCGTACAATTCATTACATGAAACAAAAATATCTCATGATTAGAGTATCTTCCTGCCTCCATTCATGTAAAATGAAGGCTAAAAGTGACAACCTTTCCCATGATGCTGCCTGACACATGAGAACGACATGCAAGCATAATTAACCAGATCTTCCAATAACACATCCTTGACTGGTGGATAGGGTGAGTATGCTTACATATATATATATATGTATATATGTATGTAAGTATATATCTATCTATCTATATCTATATCTATATCTATATATATATATTGTAGGCATATATGCATGAATGTATATAGAATATATAGAGACACAGATGTAGAGGGAATGAGATCACACACATATATTCATAAGTAAGTCTCTCCATCTATATCCTTTACAAAGTATTTTTATCATAATAAAAATAAAAAACTCAAGCATTTCATAATAATTTCATTAAGATATTATGATAGAAATTTGTTATAATCCAGTAAAACATTAATCTTACACATTGTTCATCCATTGTTAACAGTAATTTTACATGAGGCCGACGGGTGACATGTACGTACATGCCATGGCTGTTGTGGACCGAAAGACGGGTGGCATCGTGTTATGGCAATGGATTTGCATCCGCCATAGACTGGTGTCAATCATCTCTTTAAAGAGCTTTTGGGTGTGGGTGTGAGTGCCCACAGGTATGGCTGGTGTGCTGGAGATCGACGGGGAGAGCTGGGGTGGCTCCCCGGACGGCTGAGGCCTGGGTAGGCCTGGTTGCTTATTTGCTGTGTCTTGCTCTGCTGAAGGATCTTGAGTGCTGAACTCGGCCCAGGTGCAGGAGCTTAAGTGGGTCTGAGCTGTGCCAGCCATCCGGGAACGAGGGGAGCCTGCGGTCCAATAGGTGAGCCGTGAGGTGTCTGTGGTCAACCAATCAGGTCTCGGTAAACGTCTTCAAGAAGCTGCGGATGGTAAGGGCGAGAGGACAGGCTGTGGACCTGGACCCAACCTTGGGGGAAGTATGCTGCGCTGCAGGTTGCGGGGGTCTGCTGCAGGTACTCCCCCTCCAGTGAGGGAGCTAAGCGAGCTAGCGATAACCGTGATACTCCAGAAGGCTGGGTTTTTGTGTCGCTCCGGAAAGTCACCAGTATGGCAATGGATTTGCATCCGCCATAGACTGGTGTCAATCATCTCTTTAACCCATTGCTGCCGGGTGACACGTACGTACATGCCATGGCTCTTGTGGACCAAACGCTGGGGGCATCATGTCATGCCCATTGCCGCACTACTGGCTCGTCAAACGTAAGTTGTTTTTCTCTGGTAGTAGCGGCTTCATTTATATGGTAAAGATTTTAGGCAATGGCACCTACGACGGCCGAGGCCTGGGTAGGCCTGGTTGCTTGCTTGCTGTGTCTTGCTCTGCTAGAGGATCGTGAGTGCCGAACTCAGCCCGGGTGCCGGAGCTTAAGTGGGTCTGAGCTGTGCCAGCAACCCGGGAATGAGGGAAGCCTGCGGTCCAATAGGCGAGCCATGAGGTGTCCGTGGTCAACCAATCAGGGCTCGGTATGTGTCTTCGAGAAGCTGCTGATGGTGAGGGCGAAAGGACAGGATATGGACCTGGACCCAACCTAGGGGAAGTATGCAGCACTGTAGGTTGTGGGGTTGGCTACAGGTATTCCCTCTTCAGTGAGGGAGCTAAGCAAGTGAGCGATAACCGTGATACTCCAGAAGGCTGGGTATTTGTGTCGCTCCGGAAAGTCACCAGTATGGCAATGGATTTGTATCTGCCATAGACTGGTATCAATCATCTCTTTAAGGAGTTTTTGGGTGTGGGTGTGTGTACCCAAAGGTATGGCTGGTATGCTGGAGATCGACAGGGAGAGCCAGGGCAGCTCCCCAGATGGCTGATGCCTGGGTAGGCCTGGTTGCTTGCTTGCTGTGTCTTGCTCTGGTGGAGGATCGTGAGTGCCAAACTCTGCCCGGGTGCCGGAGCTTAAGTGGGTCTGAGCTGTGTCAGCCACCCGGGAACGAGGGGAGCCTGCGGTCCAATAAGCGAGCCGTGAGGTGTCTGTGGTCAACCAGTCAGGTCTCGGTATGCGTCTTCGAGAAGCTGCTGATGGTGAGGGCGAGTGGACAGGCTGTGGACCTGGACCCAACCTAGGGGAAGTATGCCGCGCTGCAGGTTGCGGGGGTCGGCTACAATGTCATGCCCATTCCCACACCACTGGCTCGTCAGACGGAGTTTGTTTTTCTCTGATAGTAGCGGCTTCATTTATATAGTAAAGATTTTAGGCAATGGCACCTATAATAAAGGTAAACCTTCCAAATTTTAATATCTTTATAAATCATAGCAAAATAAAAGCTTTTAGGTGCTAAATGTCGCTCACAAACTACCGATCGAGCCAGGTGCAAACAGGGGATGCGCGTCAACAATCCCGTCGATACGTCCATTTGCCAAACATTTTTACCCTTTGGCACTGGGTTAAGAGTTGTGTTTGTATATTGGTAACTTTTGTTATTAATATTTATTATGATTTATTGCTATAGAGGAAAATAGTCATACTGATGGAAATTATACATTTTCACTCTGATTTCTTACTTGAAGATGTGTTAGAGATCCTTTAAGTCATTATATATTAAACTTGGTGAGTGATTTACATCAAGTGTTTCTGTGCCTCTATGCATTGGCAAAGGCTAATTCTTATTTACATTAGTCATATAGTTTTTCCATTGTTTACTATTCTTTACTATACCTCGTAAATATGTTGCTCTTGCACATTAATTGATTTCCACAAAGCAAAGTGACATTTACACACTCCTGAAGGTATTTAGGAGGCTGATATAAGCTGAGGTGGGTCACTACGATAGGCTTTACAAGTGGTTTCGGTCTCCCGCAAATGTCTCTCGTACGGAGATGTGTTTACGACCTCGGGAATGTTTTGAAAATATGCTCGTTGTGAGAAACGAGAAACAAATATAATAAAATCATAAATGTATAATACTACACTGGTCAGGGAAAGATGTATCTCCTACATGTGGTGCTAACAAGGTAAAGATATATACCATGTGAAAATAGTGATACATACTTTGTATAAAAGAGCTCCTTTATAATCTAGAGTACTTGAT